ATTCCCTCTCCCTTCCTCCCTCCCTTCCCTAATCCCTCCTCCTCCTCCCTAATCTCTCCTCTCCCCCTATCCCCTTTCCCTCTCCCCTCCCTCTCCCCTCCCCCCCCCCCCTCCCCCCCTTATCCCCCTTCAACCTCCCCCTCCCTCCCTACTCCCTCTCCCTCCTCCCCCCTCTCCTCCCTATCCCCCCCTTCCAACCTCCCTCTCCCCTCTCCCTCCCTTCCCCTTCCCTCTCCCTCTCCCCTATCCCTATCCCCTCCCTTCCCCCTTCTCCCTTCCTCCCCTCCTTCCCTACCTATATCACCTCGGCCTGCGTGTATTCCAGAGGAGGCCACAACTTCCTGGCCACGTGGGAGACTTGTTCCTTGGTGTTCTGCACGTAGGAGTCTGAGAGGCCGCCCAGGAGTATGAAGTTGTAAAGCCAAGTCGTTGAGGCGGCCTTGTATATGGGGCACCAGGCCAGGCCGTCGTTTCTGGGAAGTGGGAGAAAGGATATTGGTTTCCCAGAGGCTGACCGAAAGGGTTTTTTGGTTATTATTTTTTTTTTCGTCAAGTATTTATTTTGGTATTTAGTAGCTATTCACTATCTGACTTGGAGGTTTTTTAATTGATTTTTTGTCAAGTATATAGACAGGTATTTAGCAGCTATTCACTATCTGAGAGGTTTTTAATTGATTTTTTTTGCCAAGTATATATTCTTGTATTTGGCAGATATTCATTATCTGAGCGAAAAAGGTGTTTAATCATTATTAATATTTTTTTACAAAAATATTCCGATATCTAGCAGTATTCATTATCTGACAGTTTTTTTTTTGTTTATTATTATTATCATTTCCTATTTAGCAGCTATTCATTATCTATATGCTCTATCTCGTATTCGTATACTTAGTAATTAACTGTTATCTTATCCACCGACATACTCCTCTCAAACGTTTTACCTGTCGAAGTAGAATACGTCGTAGTTGGGAGTGGGCGGGTGCTTGATGCTCGGACGAGACCCGGGTTTGGCCAGAGGACCCAGGTTATACTTCTTGCACACTTCCTTCACTCTCCTCCTACGCAACTTGAGGTCGTCCTCGATAGCACCGGCGTCTTCCTTCAGGTCGTTGGTCCTCAAGTCCTCGACCTTCCCCTTGAGTCCCATGAGGTCGTCTTCTCCTTTCCAGACGTTCGCCTCGAGGTCGTTGAAGGCGAACGGTCTCTTCTCCTCCAGGTTGCGGTTTTTCTCCCATAGTTTCGCGCCCTCGGGGGACTTCCAGTATTCTTGCTTCAGGAGTTGCTTCGCCTGGAGGTCCTTCGCCATTGCTTTCAGGTGCTGCTCCCCTTCCTCCTCCCCCTGCTCCTCGAGAGCCACGTTATCCTTAGCTGCTTGCACGTCCTCGTCCTCGACAGGGCCTTCGTCTCCGTTTGCCATTTTATTCCTCCCTCCCCACTTCCCTTGATCCTCCTCCTCCTCTTCGTCTTCGTCATCTTCATCTTCGTCGTAGTCCTCCCTCGCGTCGGGTCCTTCCTGGTCCTCCTTCCCCTCCCCCTTCTTGTCCCTCGCGGCGTCGCCCAGGGGGACGTCCTCGAAGTCCTCCTTTTTCAGGGGCAGGAGTTCGACGTCCACCACCTCCTTCTTGGCCGCGATGTTGTACCTTGGGTTGACGTCCTCGCTCGCGCTGAAGCTGACCTTGCCCTTCTGGTTCTGGCGGGAGGGAGAGAGAGAGAGGACGCTGAAGGAATGGAGGGAATAGGAAGAGGGGGAGAGAACAAAAGGGTTACCGCGCGAGGATGAAAAGCTTATTCGGTAACTGGTCATTCAGTATTATCTAGTCTCTCTCTTTTCAACACACGCAACACACACACACACACACACACACACACACACACACACCACACACACAACACACGCACACACACACACACACACACACACCAGCATGAGAAAGCCAGATCACAAACACAAATTCAAACACACGAATAACTTTGACGCAAACCGACGCACGTGTTAAACCTTTTGTTATTCAGCAGACCATTACCCACGCGCAGTTGGTAGTGGGTGTACGTACCAATGCTCAGTTCGTATTACAATATTACAACCCCTGTGTGTGCGCCGAGTCCAGGTCCCTCTCACTCTCTTTATGATTTTGAAGCACTTATAAACATTATTTCTTGAATTCTTGAAGATATGAGATGTATCTAATGTAGATTATGGGACCATCTCAAGTCGTTGTGAGCATATTGACTAAAAACAGTCTAATGGAAGGATTAAAATTGTTCACAGAGCTTGGCGTAGGAAGGGTATATCACAGCCAAGCTTCATGAACTGAATATATACTGCATTGATGACCAATTAACGAATATTTGCATTTAGTAGTCTCGAGTTCACAACCTTGATATAGTTCAGCGGATGAGCAAAAGGCAGTGTCATCTCACAGTAAGAGCCTGTTTGTTTGTTTATTTGTGTAACAGAGAAACGGATAGGTGGTTAGGTAAGTAGGTAAGTAGGCAGGTAGAT